GTGTGTGCGTCCTATGGTGCGAATGCAGGCTTTCGCTGAAGCCTGGAGAGCGAGGGGGGTCGGTGCGCACCGACCCCTCTCGCTCTCCAGGCTTCAGGAGAGCCCCACTGCCAGCCCCACAAGCTGGGGGACAGCGGGAGAGGCGCAGCGCGCCATTCCCGCTGTCCCCCGACTTGGTTAGAAGGCTGGCGGGGGGAGAAGCCTGCTCCTCCCCGTCGCCAGCCCCGCAAATTCGGGGGACAGCGGGAGAGGCGCAGCGCGCCATTCCCGCTGTCCCCCGACTTGGTTAGAAGGCTGGCGGGGGAGAAGCCTGCTCCTCCCCGTCGCCAGCCCCACAAACTCGGGGGACAGCGGGAGAGGCGCAGCGCGCCTTTGCCGCTGTCCCCCGACTTGGCTAGAAGGCTGGCGGGGGAGAAGCCTGCTCCTCACCGTCGCCAGCCCCGCAAACTCGGGGGACAGCGGCAGGGGCGCAGCGCGCCTTTGCCGCTGTCCCCCGACTTGGCTAGAAGGCTGGCGGGGGGAGAAGCCTGCTCCTCCCCGTCGCCAGCCCCGCAAACTCGGGAGACAGCGGGAGAGGCGCAGCGCGCCTTTGCCGCTGTCCCCCGACTTGGCTAGAAGGCTGGCGGGGGGAGAAGCCTGCTCCTCCCCGTCGCCAGCCCCGCAAACTCGGGGGACAGCGGGAGAGGCGCAGCGCGCCTTTGCCGCTGTCCCCCGACTTGGTTAGAAGGCTGGCGGGGGGAGAAGCCTGCTCCTCCCCGTCGCCAGCCCCGCAAACTCGGGGGACAGCGGGAGAAGCGCAGCGCGCCTTTGCCGCTGTCCCCCGACTTGGCTAGAAGGCTGGCGGGGGGAGAAGCCTGCTCCTCACCGTCGCCAGCCCCGCAAACTCGGGGGACAGCGGCAGGGGCGCAGCGCGCCTTTGCCGCTGTCCCCCGACTTGGCTAGAAGGCTGGCGGGGGGAGAAGCCTGCTCCTCCCCGTCGCCAGCCCCACAAACTCGGGAGACAGCGGGAGAGGCGCAGCGCGCCTTTGCCGCTGTCCCCCGACTTGGCTAGAAGGCTGGCGGGGGGAGAAGCCTGCTCCTCCCCGTCGCCAGCCCCGCAAACTCGGGAGACAGCGGCAGGGGCGCAGCGCGCCCTTCCCGCTGTCCCCCGACTTGGTTAGAAGGCTGGAGGGGGGAGCCTGGTTTTGCGGGAGGCGGGGGAATCCCCCCGCCTCCCAGGAAAGCCAGGAGAAGCCGTGCAGCCCTTTTAAAAGGCGCACGGCTTCTGCCAGTTTTGCGGGAGGTGGGGGAATCCCCCCGCCTCCCAGGAAAGCCAGGAGAAGCCGTGCAGCCCTTTTAAAAGGCGCGTGGCTTCTGCCGGTTTTGCGGGAGGCAGGGGAATCCCCCCGCCTCCCAGGAAAGCCAGGAGAAGCCGTGCAGCCCTTTTAAAAGGCGCGCGGCTTCTGCCGGTTTTGCGGGAGGTGGGGGAATCCCCCCGCCTCCCAGGAAAGCCAGGAGAAGCCGTGCAGCCCTTTTAAAAGGCGCGCGGCTTCTGCCGGTTTTGCGGGAGGTGGGGGAATCCCCCCGCCTCCCAGGAAAGCCAGGAAAGCCCTGTGCAGCCCCTCCGCCAAGGAGAGGCTGCACGGGGCTAAAGGGGAAGCCAAAACAGCGAGCGGGATGGATCCCGCTCGCTGCCTTGGCTTCCTCCATAGCTGCGCGCAACCCCTCTGCCAAGGAGAGGCTGCACGGGGCTATGGATTCTTTAGCCCCACGCAGCCTCTCCCGGGAGGGAGAGGCTGCACGGGGCTAGGGGAAGCCAAAACAGCGAGCGGGATCCATCCCGCTCGCTGCCTTGGCTTGATCCATAGCTGCACGCAACCCCTCCGGCAGGGAGAGGTTGTGTGCAGCCTGTACGCTGCTCTTTGGGGCTGCGGGGGGAAAAAAGTTTTTTTTCTTGAATTCCCCCCCTAAAAACTGGGTGCGCCCTATGGTCCGGTGCGCCCTATGGTGCGAAAAATACGGTATCATCTATCTATCTATCTGTCATAATACTTTGTCAAATGATAATTTGTCAAATGATCTATTACTCTCTGATGAGATCTGCTTAAGGTTGAATGAAAGCCAGATACACACACACAGACAATTTTACTATTTGGAGAGACTATCTCTTCTCCAGACTCTTTAAAGCTACTTTTTATGCCCTTTGTGAACAAATGTGTTGAGAGATGTGTGTGTCTGTGTATGCAAATGCATGTGGTGTGTGTGTGTGTGTGTGTGTGTGTGTGTGTGTCACAAACTGGGTCTTTGCCCCAGGTGACAGAAAGCCTAGCTTCGGCCCTGGCTCTTGGAATTTGCTCACCACATGCCACAGTCCCTTCTCAGCCACCCTCATCCACCCAGGCCACTTTCCTCCCGAGCCTTGCTTTGTGCCCTCCTTGAGTGTTTTTGCCTTGTTGGACTGTGCCCTTGAACTCTGATAATGACTCTTGCATGCCTGGAGGATACAGAAGTGTGTGTGTGTGTGTGTGTGTGTGTGTGTGTGTGTGTGTAATCTAGCCTACTGCACAAGGTAAGAATTTATTTTCATTGCTCTACCCACTTCTGCCTCTGGCTCTGCCCACCACTGGCATATGGCCCATGGAAGGTTGATGAGAAGGGAATGTGGCCCTTGGGCTGAAGAAGGTTCCTCACCCTTGTCATATGCTTTACTGAATATGAGTCACCAGCTCTGTAAGGATCTGAGACTCCCTATTCTAGCCTGACCCAGGATAACGCTGCATGAATTTTATGGAGTAAAAGAAGAAGACAGGTCTCTGCCCTCAGGCACTTACAAATCTAAATGAAAACTGAAGAAGAGTTTGGATTTGATATCCCGCTTTATCACTACCCTAAGGAGTCTCAAAGCAGCTAACAATCTCCTTTCCCTTCCTCACCCACAACAAACACTGTGAGGTGAGTGAGGCTGAGAGACTTCAGAGAAGCGTGACTAGCCCAAGGTCACCCAGCAGCTGCATGTGGAGGAACGGGGAAGCGAACCCGGTTCACCAGATTACGAGTCCACTGCTCTTAACCACTACAACACACTGGCTCTCTCTCTGACTGGTGTATGTGTGTGTCTTTGGCAGCTGGAAAGGTAGGCTTTTGTAATCTTACTAATTAAGTTATTAAATGTGTATTCTGCCCTTACTCCCAAAGATCCCAGTATGGAAAAATGATAGCAGATGGCACTACTCAAATACTCTGCTACAAGCTCCTTCACAAGCTTTATTTTATTTTAGGACATTTCTACCTTGCCTTTCATGTATGCTCACGCATACCCTGCCCCCACCCCCACCCCAAAGCAGCTTCCAGATTGAAAACACAAAAATTCAATAAGTACAATGTTGTGAAGTTTAAAAAAAAAAAAAGACTGATTGCAAGTCACCTCAAGCACTTGCTGGTAAAAAGGGGTCCAAGTGTATTAAATTTATGAGATACCCCAGCTCCACTTTGAGGTGCCAGATAGATTATTATCTCTTCTGCATATTGAAAAGAAAAAGAGGATTTTTGGACAGTCAGTTTTTAGATTTTATTTTACTGGTATCTTAAATGTCTGCTTCACTTGTATGCTCCCTTGCAAAGGAAGTGAAGTGAAGTGAAGAACCTTCTTTAGATGGGTGAGAACCAGAACTGTGTGTTCTTCTGTGTGGAAGCGAAATGCATCCCTTAAGGTTCCCACCTGACAAAGCTTCCAGAAGAAACATGCACTGATGCTGTCAGTCAGTTCCAGGAAAAGAGTGGCACAAGTTTCCCCTCCTTTCAGGACATTCCAGAAGCTTCTGCACATGTGCAGTGTCCCTACCTCAGCCTGTGCGTGTTACTAGGCAACCCAGTTTAAAGCCAGGCCAAGGCAATCTTTGGACACCTTTTATTTTCTCTCTAGTGGGAGAATCTTTTACCTGAAAAATGGAATTATATGTTCTTTCCAGCAGAGCAGATCCACCCCCACCACCGCCTTTTAAATCCTAAGGAGAGCAAGCAGCTAAGGAACTCAGGGGTCAGTGCGTAACACAATGTTGTATGTTACAAGAGATTCGCTTTTTTGAAAAATAATTCTGTCCTCATTATAACATGGCCTATGGGTGCCAAGTGCTTGTCTGGTTATAATGAACCTTGTATTTTTAATGGGTTTTGTAATAAGGAGAGAGAGAGAGATCCAGAGGGGCGGGGGAAGAATGTGAGAGACAGGAGTGCTTAGTACTTGTTACTGGCAAAAAGGTGAGCCTAGGTGGGTATCTCAGCAAGAGCCCATTCCACTCTGAAGAGAGAAAGAAACCAACTTGAAGGCTGTCAGGTCCCATTAACATCCTCTAAAGCTCCACAGAAAGCCATATGGAGTGCATGCAGTCAAGAGAAATTAGGGGTTCAAACCAGGTGACTTTTTTTTCCATAAAGCAGATCACTCACGGAAGCAGGTTGCACTTCCTTAATAGCTGCCATTCAGAATGCTGTGGTTACCATCAGATTAAACCAACTTGGGACAAGTCCCTGATTTCTCATCAGAAAGAGGTTTTTTCTTATTGAATGGAAAATTGGTGTACAATTTCCTGGTGGCTTGGTGGTGGGGAGAGAAATCCAAAGCCTGGGCAACTGATGTGCCCCAACAATAGTAGATACTAATAATGATGCAACATGGGCCTAAGGCAAGTGTGGAGAACTTTTGGCCATTCAGAAGCTGCTTAATGATAATTCCCATCAGCTTTAGCAAGCATGGGTAATGGCCAGGTATTGTGGTACTTGCTGTCCAGCAACATCGGGGTGGGGGGCAAGGATCCTCACACCTGGTCTAAGGGCTGAGGACATAGTAAATCAGGAGAGAAGTTATCTAAAATTAAAAGTGGGATGCTTTACATAAATAACATTAGGACAGCTTCTTGGGCCAGGGATGCATCAATTGCAGATACTTGCTCTTCTGTAATTGTCTGAGCACCAAGTTCCATATAAACATCCATAGTAAAGGGAAATATGGAAGAGACACTTACCTTGCCATCGTCTGTGTATACATTTTCATGATACCCCTTGACAATTGTTCGGTCAATGAAGAGGCTCCGCATCACCACTATGACTTTTAACACTTTTCCTAATGTAACCTGTCAGGGGGTGAGGGGAAGTAAATGTGACAAAAAAAGACAATGGTAAGAAACACAAACCCCATAATTAAAAAAACTGAAAAGCAAATGGGGGATTTTCTATATGAGCATCAGAGAACCCCTTATTGATAGTGTTTAGGATCTGAACTATATATTATGCATGTCAAAATGGCATCCCCATGTTGAGTTCTCCCCTCCACCCCACCAATATTTAGGGTTATCCCCAGCTCCTGCCAACCTAGCAGTTCAAAAGCATGTCAAAGTGCAAGTAGATAAATAGGTACCACTCCAGCGGAAAGATAAATGGTGTTTCTGTGTGCTGCTCTGGTTTTGCCAGAGGCGGCTTAGTCATGCTGGCCACATGACCTGGAAAAATTGTCTGAGGACAAATGTCGGCTCCCTTGGACAGTAAAGCGAGATGAGCGCCGCAACCCCAGAGTTGTTCACGACTGGACTTAACTGTCAGGGGTCCTTTACCTTTACCTTTTTAGCTCCTAAATACCACCATCTTGCAAGTTTTTCTGTTTCCAACAGGGAGGCTGATGACGTCCAAGCCGGGGAGGGAAAAACTTATGTCCACATATCAATCCACTCTTGAACCTTCAGCTATGGGTTTGGATATAGCAAATAGTATTCAGCATGGATTTATCAAAAGTATATGCTGATGTCATATTTGGGTCAGAACTGAAACAACCTCATCCTGAGCACCAAAGTTAAAGTTGAGCTTTGGGTTACCAAAACCAGAACAGCAACTAATCTGGAAAGAAAGCACTAAATCATGTCTTTTGATTTTGAAAAACACTGGCAAGTAAAGGCTGTGAAATTTCTGCATTTCACAAAATGAATAAATAAAACTAAAACAGAGCCCAAGAGAAATGCCAAAATAGCCAGAAGCCTCTAGGCCCACCTGTTCAAGAGGGGGGGATGAGCAAGATGGAAAATGATTAAGTTGAGTGGAAGGTTTGGTGAAGAACAAGAGATATACAAAAAACCCTCACTTGATAAACACAGTGATAACAGTGTGGTATTTTCTACCACAGTATAATGTGTTGAAGTTTATACTGTTTTGGAGGGTAAAATAAGAAGCGACAGCTGTAGGTGTGCAGAGAAAATAAAAGACAAGCAGATTAATTGAAACCTTCAACAGACTCTCTTTCAGGGGTATTTTGCTTGATAAAAGTGATAGCACAACTTGACCTATACTAGATATAAGGAAGGAAATAAGTTTATATAATGTGCATTCATTTCTGCTGAACACTTAAGCACTATTTGTGCATTTTCTAAAGTTTTCACAACAGGCTTGTTAATATTAAAAGCTTCCAGTTCTGTGCCAATATTGTATTGACACTGGAATTCCAGCAGCTGTTATGTTGACTGGAAAAGCAGAGGCACAGCATTTCAGCAAATGAAGGTACTTTTGGAAATGAGGAACAGTCCCGTGGGATTATAGATGCCACTTCCAAAAGGCAGGTGACAGAAGGGAAAAAACCTGAAGCTCCGACATGCAGAAATCTTTAAAGGGCTAGCATGTTGAGCAGCTGCAATTAGCTTTTCAAAAATGACTCAGGTTAGATCTGTAGTCACAACTAGGTACCAAAATAGGATTGAGGGTTCACCAGAGTTTTAAAATGGTGTTAATGGCTCGCAAAAATATTGTTCCCAATGCAGAATATGGTGGTGTGCCAAATGAGCTTTTAAACTTAGCTTTTTACATTTTTACTGCATTTCCCAAATGATTCTGCAGTTGGTGGGAGGTGCTTTATCCAACGGGGAGCATCAGAGAGCAAAAGTCACCAATGATACTACCTCTCTTAAAAAACAGTTGTGAAGGTCATTCCACGCCAAATCACTTGGTGCCATGTGCTCTCATGACTCAGATTTTCTGCAAAAAATTTTTTTTTAAATGTGTAGATACTTATGAGACAAGCTCAAAATAATATTTTAAGATTTTTTGGTCCAAAATTGGGCACAGGATAATTTTTTTAAAATTTCAATTTTCTACACTGACGCAGAAATTCCATTACCCTAAATCGCACAAAAATCGAAAATTTCAAAAAAATTCTCCTGCACCCAATTTTGGACCAAAAAATCTTAAAATATTATTTTGAGCTTATCTCATAGGTATCTACACATATTTTTTTAAAAAAGAAAATCTGAGTCGTGAGAAAACGGTCGACTATTAAAATCAGGTGATTTGGCGTGGAATGACCCATGAGTGAAAATTATGCAACAAGGTGAGTACCTGGATGACTTTAAAGTGTATTAGACAAGCCTGTGGAGGATAGAAGTACGCTCTACCTTTACTCTTGGAAACAGTAAATACCAGTTGTTGGAAATCATAATTGGAGAGAATGTTTTTGCTGTTAGGTCCTGGTTGTGTTCTTTCCACAGGGGCATTCAGCTGGCTACTGTGAGAACAAGATGCTGAACTAGATGGGTCTCTGGTATGATCCAGCAAGGCTCTTATGTTCTTATGGTTTTTGTGCCAAGCAATGTAAACAAAGGCTCACGAGTACAGTGTGAGATCTTCTAGCAAGCTGAGGACTGAGAATGATGGGGACTGTAGCCCCAAATCAGTAGCATGGAAAATGCTGTAGTGGTTCCATGATGGAGCAGTCTTTAGTTCTGGGTAGCACCCCTCTTTGTTGATAATCAGAGCCCCTTTCAGCAAGTAAAGCACCCATGGCAGAAGCTTCACCTCAGCTCCTAAGACTATTCCCAGGGGTAGACCTCAACACCTCAAATTTCAGTGGTGCCCTGTGTGACATAAAAATCTGGGGCCCCACACATCTTGCCTTCCATTGGATGTTATAGTTGCCTGCAGCAGCATCCTAGAAACTCTGTGTCTGGTGCAACCACACTGGTACCGCTCCCCTAGATCCGCCTTTGATGTTCCCGCATGGTTTGTAGCAACAGGGTTCTGGCACCACTTGAATTAAAGTGGATACAACTCCCTTTACTTCATAAGGTTATTTCTTTTGCGAGTGAGAGGCCACATTTCAACTGGGGATGAGAGGCAGTTTGGGATTTGGGTGATGGTTCTGTTGTGCCCCGACCTTGAAAATAGAGCAGCTCTGAGTCAGCAACCTTTTCTCCCTTGGTTGGAGTGGGAATAATATGATGGTGGTGATGATGATGTATACCCCACCCATCTGGCAGGGTTTCCCCTGGAAAGCAGCTGGTGCTGCTCTTACTTTGCTCCACACCTTCTCTCACCTTTGGGAGAGAAGCAAAACAGCTGCTTGGCCACAAGAACCCTCCCTTTGTGTCACTTGGTCTGACCCTGTTCTTTAAAGCTCGGAAGGAGAAACACATATCCAGCTATATTCTGCAATATCCTTTCCTCACTATCTAGTTGTTTTCTAGTGTCTAATAGCCAGTAACATCTAAAATTGATAGCAGCATATAGGCTCTCTAATCCACAGCTCCCCATTGCCAGAAACACAAGCTAAGCTCCATAAAAAGCCATAAAGTGCGTGCCTCAATTTGAAGATATTCTGAAAACAGGCAGCTCCTTTCAGTGGACAGACTGTCTACTTCTTAAATTGCATTACAAAGACAACATTATTTTTTACCTTCTGAGGCAAACTTCTCCCTATTAAATTTCAACTTCTTCTGTCGATATCCTGATAGACACAGTACTTGGCTTTTTAATATTTTGCCTGTAGGATATGTGCCAGCTCGACCTTGATGTAGAAAATTTTAATTCAAATCAATACGTGAACAAGGTCACTCTAAAATTCAATTAATATGAATGGGGGAAAATGCCCCACAGTTCTTTGAGCTGAAAATGGAACAGCTGCAGGTTAAACATGCATGTAACCCTCTGTCTAATACTACTACAATCCCAGCCTGTTTTTAAACACTACAGCGCTGATTCTGACTATCAGGATGCAAAGCCTCTAGCTTTTTTAAAGGACAAAATATGATAAAATTTGCATTATCCTTAAATCTTTATGGACAAAAAATAGTGAAAATCCCCCAAGGTACCATGGATTTTAAAAAGGGCCTCTTCCTCCAATAATTAGTAATTCTATTCAACTTAATGAGTTAACAATTGCAAAATAGCTGGCATACCAAAGAGCTGAATGAAATGAAGTCAGGAAATATATTTTAAACTCAAAGGCACCAGCATCAAATTTTTAAGAACCAGAATCAAATATGCGGAACTAAAAAAAGATTTTGATTCTTTGGAGTTTGCACTGCATTTCTATGCATCTGGCTGGTCAAGTATATCGAAGGATTTTAGCTCTGATAAAATAAAAGTGGTGCCCCTTAACAGTTCTTTATTAATGGTAATTAAGTAATACACCACTTATGTGCCAAAATAGCTTTACAGTTAGGAAGAAAAGTTCATGATACTGGTTTGGTTTAGCATCCATTATCTGCTCCTTTTCAAGCCATCTATGCCAGCAGCGATTGCCAAATTTTGTGGCAGTGAATCTCAAAAATTAGTTACAACATTTGTGAGGAAATACACAAATGTCTTGAACCCACCGCCCAGCAATTTTATCAAGTTCCAGCATTATGAAAATGCTTTCTACCTACTTTTCCCAATTCATGCACAATTTCATGTACGCATGAGAGAGAGTATAAAAGAGAAAGAGGTCCCTCTGTATGCATAGTGGTGATGTAGGTTTTCCAAAAACATTTATGCTGCCTTGATGGAGCAATCTTGGCATGCTTATTTGACTTATATTTACTAAACAAAATTAAAACAGTATGTCAAGTTAATTTTATATGCCATATGCTACTTATAAACCTTTTCCAATCGCTGAAATATTTGATAAGTTTGAATAAAATGCACTTGGGCAGCTTAAATGTTATATTCAAATATGTACTTGGAAACTAATTTTACTGGAATGCCTGTAAATATTGTAAAACATGGCAATTCAATAGTGTACGCATTACTATTATATTAAATTTTAAAGGGGAAATTGTGGCACTTTAACTAATATGACAATTTTTAAGGACACCTGAATGCCTTTGCATATAAATGC